CTCGATCATCCACCGAAGCGGAGTACAGAGCTCTCGCTCATGCCACTGCCGAAACTCTATGGCTCCAAAATTTACTCCATGAACTTGGTGTGCATATTTCTCGTGCGCCGGTGCTCTACTGTGACAATCTTGGGGCAACTTATGTTTGCAAGAATCCCGTTTTTCATTCCCGCATGAAACATCTAGCTTTGGATTATTTTTTTGTCCGTGATCTTGTCGCTGCTAATCGATTACAAGTTCGGCACATTCCGACTTCCGAGCAACCAGCGGATCTTCTCACTAAACCCTTGGGTGTTACCTTATTCACTAAATTTCGATCCAAGATTGGTGTCTCCGACGGTTCCACCATCTTGCGGGGGTGTGTTAGAGATAAGTAGATAAGAATGCATAGTTTGAATAGTTGTTACGTAGCTTGTGTGTTTATCCCTTGTTTATAGCATTAGACTTGTTCTCTTCCACTTGTATAGGTTGTTCTCCTAGTTTGTAGGCTTAGTTACATGCCCTGTACGTGTATAAATATCCTCATCACATGAATACTACTGCAACTCAATTATTCACAAATACTCCGTTCGTATACTAGTGAACTCGGAATCTCATCGGCATGTAGAAAATGCTAAATTACACCGTTGGTCCTTATGTGTCATGCATAGTTAATCTTTATTTCAAAAATTCCACAAATACTTCTTCAAGTTATGTTAGTGCTGCATGGTTGCTCCTTTTAATTTTGTCAATAGTTAATGTATTTTTTTCATTTTCTATTATATATAAATGCATGAGAAGAACTCTTTATTCTTCATACAATCCAATTATATTTAATGTAGATCTGTTTTTTAATAATAATAAGTTGCTCTTATTCTTATTAGTTCAATTTTATATAATAATAAGTACTCTTGCGTTTATGAGGTTAATTCTTTTAAAAAAATTACCCAATCTGTTTTAAAGTGTTTATTAAAATTTGACTCTTTACAGTCAAGCAGAATTAATCTTTGACCTATAATTTAATTAAAATAGATCTGCATGAAGTATTACTCAATTGCATGAAAAAGTTAAGAGAGAGTTTCTCATATGCACTCATAATAGAAAATAAAAAAAATCTATGGACAAATGAAAAAATTAATGGGAGGACCAATAATCAAAAATTAACTGACTTGAAAAATTTAAAGTTAAAGAACTAATAGTAGTGCTTGATGTAATTTGATAATTTGAAAGGCAAACGGTTAGTTGAGTAGTAACGATCGGTTACCTTTCTTTTGGTTTATTTTGAGTGTTTTTCATTGTCTAACTGGTCTTTTTGGGTAATTGTTCACTTTCCAGTATTTTGAGTGTTCACTATCAAGTATCAACTTTCAAGTCAAGTTCTATCATGGAGGTAAGGTACACATTAATTTTCTATTTTTCTTACACACATTTTTATTTTAGAAAATTAAAATGGAAAAAGCTTATTACAATAATAAAAAAGTGCTTTTTAAAAAAAGTTCATAGCTCTCTTCATGGAAGAATTTGTCAATCTTCAAATGTAAAACGGACGAAGGTGAAAAGTTTGGCATGTCACCCGTTCGATAAGTCCAATTGCGACTACTAAAGAGACAAAAACAATTGTTATTTTGTCATGTAACGCCAGGTCAGAGTTGACATGTGTACAAGTACACAACGACTACAAGTTTTGTTTTTTTTTGTTTTGTTTTGCAAAATACCCCGGAGTATAAGATTTGCTTTTGTTTCAATAAAATAAATTCCTTCCTTCCCTTTTGTACAAGGAAGTCAAGATGTTTTTTTTTACAAATGCATGAATATTAATTACTTTTTCCCATAACTATCTTTGTTGTTTTTTATTTGAGTTGTATTAGTAAAGTTTTTCTTTCACCTTTTTTATGATAAAAATTACTCCTTTAATCCCAAATTTTAATTACAAGTAGGGATTTACAAAACAAAATTTTTAATCTTTTTTTGAAATTATTTTATTACAAATTGGTATTTTGATAAAAAAATAAAAATTACATATTAAAGAATTACTAAAAAAATTTCTACAAAATAAGATATGAGAAGAATATTTTATATCAAATAAAAACACAAAAATAAACAAAAGTAATCAAGATGAGAGAAAAAAATTGTAAAACTGAGATAGAGGTAATTGTTTTACTTTTTTTTATATAAATTACAATCCCACATATATTGGCCGTGTTTGAAAAACAGCATTTGGGATAGCTTTTGGCATCTTTGACTGACTTTGGCTTTTTTGACCAAGCGAACCGCCAAAACTATTGTTTGGCTAATGGCTTTTTCATTTGGCATTTTGATCCGAAAAGCCAAAATCTGAAATGCCAAGGTGAGTAGCATTTGGACTTGGCGGTTAGGAAAAATAATTTTTTTAAAATCATTTTTGTTAAAGAGTATCCCACATCGGAATTTGAAAAGAAAATAAACCGGTATATAAGTCCTTGAGTTGAACTAAGTAATCGATTGGATTCAATCTTTTAATGTGGTTTAACCCAAGTGTCTTATTACCCAATCCAGTTGTCTCTACCCAATCCCAAATTCTATCATGGTATCAGAGCCAGTTTTAGCCCATCTCGTTTGTCAAGGTGTCCGTCTAGACGTTCATTCCAAGCGGCCTGTTAGTCTTTAGCCCAGTTGTTCGTATGGAGTATGTACCCAACGGCCTGTGGCCCGTTTAACACGATTGCTCGTCTGGAAGTCCATACCCAGCAGCTCGTGGTCCTTTAGGTGTTGGCGCTCAAAAAAATCAAGGGAATGAGAGTCCATTTGCAAGTGGTCAACCGGTTAGATTCAAAATGGCCCAGTTGTCCACTTGAGGGGGAGTGTTAAAGAGTATCCCACATCGGAATTTGAAAAGAAAATAAACCGGTATATAAGTCCTTGAGTTGAACTAAGTAATCGATTGGATTCAATCTTTTAATGTGGTTTAACCCAAGTGTCTTATTACCCAATCCAGTTGTCTCTACCCAATCCCAAATTCTATCAATTTTTGTTGAAAGATATTTTATAATATATGTAAAAAATAAAAATAAAAATAAAGGTTTAAAAAATTAAATACGAAAAAAATAAAATGAAATTAAAAAAATTTTATATTTATAATTCATATATATATATATATATATATATATATATAATTTTTTATTTAATTTTTTTAATTTTAAAAAAAATATATTTATGATATGATATTTAAAAAAATTGTAAAATAAAATATACCATAAATGGAGGGATGTCCTTTTATGTAATTTACTTACAAACAGCTAACTATAAACAGCTAAAGTTGCCAAACACTTAAAATTTAACTGCTAACAGAAACAGCCGGTCAAAACAGCTAACTCAATCAGCCATTCAAACCAGCTAACATAAACTGCCAACTGCCAACTGCCAACTGTCAGTGCCCAAACAAGGCTAAAATAGAAAATTAGGAGACGATAAAGTATTCTCCATATTTGTCTCTGGAAGTACAATTACGAAAATAGGATAAACGAAATTGAATGTATGATATTATAGATGATTTAAAGATATGTAGAAGGATAAAATAATTTTTTATATACTTAATAATATTATATTTAAATTTATAAAGAGTTAAAACACTACAGAAATGACAAGTGTTAATAATTCACTTTGACCAATAGAGTAGTGATATTTTAAAGTAGCCCGCATGGGCTGCTCAGTTGGTCAAGAGCGTGAAATCTTGGACCGATGACCAGAGATCGAGTCCCGTAAGCGGCAGTGTGAGAGCTATCCAAAAATCTCATAAAGGGTGAGGATGCTCCTTGTGCGCGGTGGGCACGAGTCTAGCGTTCTTGGCCGACTGAGTCACCATGATTTACTTCCTCCACCATTCCTGTCGGGCAAGGGGGTAGGGGCGCCTGGGGTGGGCGATTCCACCTTTTGGACCGGTGATATTTTAAAGTAAAACGAGGGTAATTTTTTTAAAAAGAAACTTTGGCTTTTGCCCGATAAAACTTAAAAGTCGTGCTCAATGAAACAAAAACAAAAAAAAAAGTTGAGAATGTTTATCGGAAAAGGCGATAAAAAGCAAATAAGAAAAGCTAAAGAAAAGGCTAAAAAGCGACTCTCTCCCCCTCCCCCCCCTCACAACAAGTTAACCAAACCCAATTCTCCTCCTCCTCCGTCACTGTCCAAAATTCTCTCCAATTCTCTTCCCCCATTTCAAAATCTCTGCAAAACTTGCTACAATCGGGGTATCGAAGGAGGCGGGCGGGGTTTTATATGCATATCTTCTTCTCGGCTTCGTCAAAATCACAATCTGTCTAAAGAATAGTTAAGATCATATAGTCCCATGTTAGAGGCAGCCGCCGGGCCGTCTTCTTCGTCGTCGGAAACAGCTCTGACTTCCCAAGCGGCGCCGCAAAACGCGGCTTCTATGGCTAAACGGAAGCGACGGCCCGCCGGCACTCCAGGTAATGGATTACTGGATTAATCTGTTTTTAATCTGAAAACTGTAAATCAATCAAATTTCAGCTCCGCGTTTTGATTTTTATGAGTTGAAAATGGGCGCTCTCTACAGTTTTGTAGAATTCGAAAATTTCCTTCCAATACACCAGTAGAATGATGGTACAGTAGTATACTAATTTTACAGGGGACTCTTTCATTATTTTGATTTTTTAGTCAAGGAGAACTTGTTAGGACTCATAGGATTACTCATATATTCATTGACTGACTAATCACATCATTAGTAAATTAATTAATCGTTTAGTTACTCCATATGTATAACCACACTAGATTGGAAAATGATTTGGCATAGAAGTTTAGATTTCTCATCCAGTTTAACTCTAAAAAGTTGTCAAATACTCTAAAATGAAGGAGTAACAAAATCAATTTGTGTTGTATATTAATACGAGTACTAATCTAATGAATTAATTTTTTTACTAATATACAATATACTCATAATTTTTATTTAATTAATCTCAAAAGGTTAAAATTAAACGAATATTCAGTATTGGAAGTATTCATAATATGTAGCCGGTCCCTCCACTTATAAAAGAGTACATTTGTAAACATATGTAATCATTGGTCATAATTAAAGATCACATGTAGAGGTATTTGCATTGTTTCTCTTAGTTTTGAAGATTAAATCATGTCACATCAGTCGAATATAAAAATATAAATTACTCATACTATGGGAGTTGACCTTTTATGATGGTAAACCATCAAGTATGAATATGAAGTACTTGTTGTTTATGCTTTTGTACACTAGTATCCTCCTTTTAATATGTAATAAAAATAAAATACTCCATTGTTTTCAAGATAGAAGTCCTAAGGTTTATTTTTCAAAACATCAATACTATGATAATCCTGAGTTATTCAAAGATCAGATTTTAATTTTACACATATCTATCTTTGTGCAACACAGATCCGGGCGCAGAAGTCATCTCACTTTCACCAAAGACTCTCTTAGAATCTGACAGATATGTGTGTGAGTTTTGCAACCAAGGTTTCCAGCGCGAACAGAACCTACAAATGCACCAGCGGCGGCACAATGTACCATGGGAGGTGTTGAAGAGGCCGCCGCCGGAGATGCCATTGGCGGAAACTGCCAGGAAAAAGGTGTACGTGTGCCCGGAGCTGACCTGCCTGCACCACGACCCTAGGCACGCCCTGGGCGACCTTGTGGGGATAAAGAAGCACTACAGAAGGAAGCATAGTAACAACAAGCAGTGGGTTTGTAGCAAGTGTTCCAAGGGGTATGCTGTTCAGGCTGATTATAAAGCCCATCTCAAGACTTGTGGGACCCGTGGCCATTGTTGCGATTGTGGCCTCGTTTTTTCCAGGTTCTCTTTTATTCTCGCTCGCCATTTTTTAGAGAATTGTCTAAGGTGACTAAAATTGAGTAAGTGCTTGATCACAGCAGTTGAATGATTAGAATGCCAATAAGTGATTTAGAAACACACGCCCTTCGTCTCAAAACTTATTTGAGTGTGCTTGAGCTCATGGTCTCTTGGAAACAACCTCTCTACTTTTGAGTGGGGGTATGATTTGCGTGCATATACCCTCCCCAAGCCCTAGTTTTTGTGGGATTGTATCGAGTTTGTTGTTGTTACTTTTCAATTTAGTCACTTTATTTGGTTTGTGAAATACCATTTTGTAAACAAGGTATTTTCTAACTTGAAGATCCCAAATATTCAGAGTGGAGAGTTTTATAGAGCACCAAGATGCCTGTGAAGTGAAGCGAAAGAATGGGTCCGATACAAAACCACCATTGCAAGAGCGTCTTTGCTCATCCACACCTCCTTCGACCACCACCAATTCTAGCGGGGACACGAATTTCAGCTCTATTTTGCCACTGCCAATGTCATTAGCTATATCTCCTGCACCTGTTGAGCTCCCAAATGGTTCATCCATTCACAAGATCACCAATCAACAACAACAGCATAACTGCTTGGAGCTCCAACTCTTACCACCATCCTCGACCGTTCTTTGTCCAACTGTCGAGGAATACTCCACCGGTTTGAGCTTGTCCATTGGCCTGTTCAGCGCAGACCAGAAAACCCAGCAAAACAAAACTGCTGGAGTTAATGGAAACGGTGTGGTTTACGAGGAACTGAAAGTGGCGATGGATGAAAAGGCATATGCAGATGAGAGAAGAGAAGAGGCAAGAAGGCTGACCGAATTGGCCGAGTTGGAATTCGCGAGTGCCAAGAGAATTCGGCTAGCAGCTAAGGCCGAGCTTGAGGAGGCGGTGCGTTTACAGGAGCAATCGACAAGAAAGATCAGTGCTTTAATGCTAGAAATCACCTGCCAGTCCTGCAAGAGGAAGTTCTCATACTGATGGCTACTACTACTAGTTTGTTTTGATGGCTGATACACTTCAGCTTACTACTAATTAGTTATTGGAGCAGAAAATTTGTGTCTTTTTTGTAAACTTTGGGAACCAACTCCATCCTATTCAAATGTTATTACTCTTTTTGGTGAAGAAAAAGTCTCATTGAGTTTGGTGTAACTTTTAGCTTTTCGATCAACTCAATTATCATCAATAAAAAAACAAACCAAAACGAAGAGAACTTCTCGTCCAATAAGAAGAGTCATTTTTAAACATATCTTTGTTCATTAAAAATTAGAGTCAATCTTAAAGAAAAGAAAGGAAATAATTAACACCGCATACGAAAACTCTTGAAGAACAAACAAATTAAATCTTCCTAAGAAATAAGGTTTCTTTTCAAGGGTAAAATGTAAATTATTATTACCCAAATCAAACAAGTACACCAATGTTATATGCTTAACCATCAACATGGTTACACGCATAAGTTACAAGATTACAATTACAACATATCCAAATTACAAACAGCTACAAACATGATATGATCACAACTGTTACAAACAAGCATACACAATTCCCTTCGAAGAGTCAATTAGCTCTTCTACAACACAGGGAGGCCAAAACACTCTAATGTATAAACTATCAGCAAGGCACAACCATGTATTCTTCAACCAGGCATTGAGGCAGAGAAGTCAAGTCATCATTGTTAAAGCAAATGCCACTATAACCATTTTGAAGGCTAAGCAGATGAGATCAAAGTATGAAGCTCAGAACTTGAGGTGTTTCCAACCAACCAGTGGTCTAGCCAAAAGGCCACTCAGAACTACCAAGGATGTTGCAACCCAAACAGGAAACCCAATTAAAGCCCAAAGCCATAAACCCAATAAGGTTTCTTTTCAAGAACTACTGCTAGAAGTGCCACTACTTCCAGGCATAAGAAGCTCTCTCAACATAGCCACAACTTGCAACATGTTAGGCCTCTTTGATGGGAAATCCTCCACGCATTGCAGTGTCATCTCCAAGTACCTTATCATTTCCTTCACCTCTCCCCATTCGGATTCGTCGGTCCCTTTTGCCGCAACCGATATCAGCCCGGGATCGATGACTTCCATTGCTTTCCCTTCTCTCACCTTCATCTTCACCCATCCCACGAGGTTCGTGTCCCCGAAGTCCTCCTTGTCCGTCGGCCTTCTTCCCGTGAGGAGCTCGAGAAGTATGACCCCGAACGAGTACACGTCGCCCCTCGCAGTGCAACGGAAGCTCTGGTAGTACTCTGGCGGGACGTAGCCCGGCGTGCCCGCCAAAGTGCTCACGCTCAAGTGCGTGTCGAGCGCGCTTATCAGTCGGGCCATCCCGAAGTCAGACACCCTGGCTTCGAGATCGCCGTCCAGGAGAACGTTGCTCGACTTCACGTCGCGGTGGATGATGTGGGGGATACAGTTGTGGTGGAGGAAACACAACCCTTTCGCCGCGCCCCTCGCGATCTTCTTCCTCTCTTCCCACGTCAGGGCTGACACCCTGGCGTGGAGGGCCTCGTCGAGGTTCCCGTTCTTCATGAATTCATACACCAAAAGCCTCTCCTCACCTACCTTGCAGTACCCCAAGAGCGGGACAAGGTTCTCGTGCCTGATTTTTCCGAGCGTCTCCATCTCAGCCATGAACTCGCGGTCGCCCTGGCAGCTTAAGCTTATCAGCTTCTTGATTGCCACGGTCGACCCGTCTTTCAACGTCGCCTTAAAGACTTCGCCGAACCCGCCCGTGCCAATCAAGCTAGCGGTGGCGAAGCCATTTGTGGCCTCTATCAGCTGCGAGAACTTCAACTTCTTCAAATGCATCTGGAAAGTGGCGACATTTATGCTCAACGGCTCCTTTTCCCTCTCTATCTTCCACGTCGTGGCTCCTTGAGAGGCATTGAGGCTATTCAAGATCTTGATTTCCTTCGCCTCCCGAAGAAGCCGAGAACGGACCGCCAAAGCCAATACAAGGAATGCTAAGATTGTTGCAAATGATATGCCCATTCCGATAACAACTGCCAAGTTCGTTCTACTTCTTCTTCCCCTCGAGGACGGATTTGTGGTCGCGATAGGGGTGCCACATTGAGCCAGGGGGACGCCGCATAGGCCGGGGTTGTTGGCGAATTGGGTGGCCGGAAGCGTGCTGAGCTGTCCCCTCTGAGGGATTTCGCCGGTCAAATCATTGTCGGAGAGATCAATTTGAACGAGGAAAGACAGGTTTGAGAAGGAGTCCGGGATTTGCCCCTGCAACATGTTGTGCGAGGCCTCGAACACGCCGAGGTTCTTCAACCGGCCGAAAGACGGTGGGATCTCACCGGAGATACGGTTGTGAGATAGAACCAGGACTTGTAACTCGATCATCTCCCCAAACTCTCTAGGGATTTCTCCCCAAAGTGAATTATAGGAGAGATCGAGGTACTCTAGAGTCTGATATGTTGTGAAGAAGCTGAGGACGGCGCCGGAGTAGAGCCTGGTGAAATCGCAGCTCCGGAGTGATGGGATTTTCAGCAGTTTTTCCGGCCGGATGCCGGAGAATTCTAGTAGACCTCCTACTCCCCGGCACAAGCTCCCAACATTTCGGACGAAGACCATGGTGTTGCCGGACAAGATCCCGTCGCGGCTAGCCTTTGCTCCTTTCTGCCGGCCGAGTCGGGGAGGGATTTCTCCGACCAAACCATTGCTGCTCAAGTCCAGCCACACCAAACTGCTGGAGTTCCCTAATTCGGGTGGAATTTCCCCTGTTAGACTGTTGTTCCCGAGCTGCAAAATGGCCAACCTCTTCAGGGACCCGAACTCGCCGGGAATTTGACCGGTTAATCCGTTGCTGGTGAGGGCGACCCATTCGAGATTCCGGCAGTTGAAAAGCTCCGGTGGTAGTTTCCCGGTCAGGTTGTTGTTGTTCAGGATGAGTCCCTTGAGCTTCCCGCAGTTGCCCAATTCCGCCGGAATGTTCCCGGCCAGGTTGTTGTACCATGCAATCAACTGTTCCAGATTCCCAAGACTCCCCAGTTCCGGCGGGACTGACCCGTTGAGATTGTTCAGACTCAAATCAATCGTCCTCAGCTGGGTGCACTTCGAGAGCTGACCGGGAATCGCACCGGAGAGCATATTATCCGGTGCTCTCAATTCTTCCAGGGAACCGGCTCCGGGACATAAATCCGGCGGAACCACGCCGGAAATCAAGTTGGAGCTGAAGTCTATCACTCTAAGCCTCTTGCAGAAGGACAATGAAACCGGAAAGTCGCCGGAGATCATGTTGCTGCTCACCGTTAGAGTCTCCAGTGACGCCATTTTCTCAAAAAATGAATCCGGGAAAGAACCTGTCAAATTATTGCCGGACAAATCCAAGTTCTGGAGCAAAGAACAAGAGGAGAACGAATCCGGTACGGGCCCGGTGAGATTGTTATTCGAAAGCTTGAGTTCCAAAAGCGACCCGCAGACATTCCCGAGCTCAGCCGGGATCCAACCGGACAAAAGATTGGAAGAAAAATCCAATCTTTGCAGGCCCCTAAGCTGCCCGAACTGCTCCGGGATCTGCCCGGAGAACGAATTGGAAGCCAAATTCATCTCCGAGAGACGGGTACAGTTGCCAAAGGCCGCCGGAACAGACCCGGAAAACCGATTCCCGGAGAAATCAAGATGCGACAGCGAATCACAAGCCCCAATTTCCATCCCGGAGATCGAACCAGTCAAGTTGTTATAAGACATGTCAAGAACCTGCAGATGATCAGCCCCAATCAAGAAACTGTCAGGGAGAGTGTCAGAAATGCCAGTGAAGGCCACATTCACAAACTGAAGATTCGGGCATTGGACAAACAGATTCTCAGGAACAGTCCCTGTAAGCCCGGAAAAAGACAGGTCAAGTTTCTTCAACCTTGAAGGAAGTCCATCCACCAAAGAAGAAAAATTCAACCAAAGCCCTCTGTTCCCGGAAACGTCAAGGGAATCCAACATGTCCAGAGAACTAAAAGGGGAAAAAGAAAGATCCCCGAGGATTCCGGCCTGCGAAAGATCAATACTGTTCACTCTTCCTGAACTGCACTTCACGCCATGTCAAGAACAGGGGTCAGCTTTCTGCTGCCAGCCGGAAAGAACTCCGTCTGGGTCTTTCTGGATCATCCTCTTGAACGCCAGGAGAGAATCAGAGTCGGTTTCGATTGAGTGGACGGGCGGTGCGGCGGGCTCCGCGGAAACTGGAAACAGAACTGCCCAGGCTAAGATGAATGGAGAAAGATGAAGGGAACTCTGGAGCTGTGAGATGGTGAGTTCCATTGGCAATGGGAGGGAATGAGTTTGAGTGTAGGAGTGGACTGTGGAGGGAGATGGAAGAAGGGGGAGAAAAGGGGAGACTAGCTTTTGGCAAAAGTTTGTCTTCCTGAATCGATTGCTGAGAACTTTTTATTTGAAGTATTACTCCCTCTGTCCACCATAGATCTTCTCAGACACTATTCACAGGGTCAAACTTTATTCACTTTGTTTGCTTATTTTTACTAGTTATTTTGTAAAATAATATAGTCTTGTCACCTCTAGTTTTGTAGAGCTTTTCATGTAGTTTATTACTATATAAATTTTATTTTAAAATTTTACTCCTATAATCAATTAAATTGAATTGAAAATAAAGTCGGTCAAGCCTCGTTACGCGTAACGGGAAGAACATATGATGGACGGAGGGAGTATTATATTTCTGGTTTTTTTTTGTAGATGGGAAAAGGAGGGAAATCGGGAGTGGCCGTGTAAAAAAGAAGAATGAAACGTTGGTGATGTTTGTGACAAAAGGGGAGGAGAAGTTTGGCAAGAGAAAGTCATCCTTTTTTTTTTGCACTTTGATGATTGCTTTTGCCACGAAGGCACGAAGCCGTAGCGATCAATAAGAAGTCTCTCATCCTCCACTCAACGGGGATTTGAGAGTGTAAATCATGATAATTGGGGCGATTACTAATTAGACGAAGAAGGGCTCTAGAGGAATCACGGATTACTAAATTACTAGCACCCTCCTAATCTAAATCACATGTTTTGATTTATGAGATTTAACAAAAGTTATTTTTTAAAGTAATTTGATACTCTGGTCCTAAAAATCTTTCCTACTTTGACTTTTTTGATCAAATAGTAACACTCTTTGACTTTAATTTAAACATGATTTAAAAAAATAAATTATATAAAATTCTAATATATCAAAAATATATTCTAAGATGAAGCCAATTAAATTGAATTTATATTATAATTAAATATACTTTTCTCACAGTTTTTGATAGAAAAGTTTTACTATTTGAGAAAAAAGTCAAAAAAAGAAATATTTTTAGAACCAGAGGGAGTAAAAAATTAGAACAAGATTAAAAAAAAGTAAACTTTACACATTAAAAAAGTTTATCAAAAGTTTTACTAATGAAGATATGACAAGACAATATTACTTTACTAAACAAGTAACGGAAATAAAGAAAAAAGTGAATAAACTTTAACCTACAAACAAAAAACATCTAATTTAATTTGGGATGAAGAGAGTATATTGCGAGAAATTTCCTATTAATGCATGCATTGCATGTATCTCTAGTTCAACGAACACGGGTTGTGCAAAGTGTGAATCCTAACTTCTCACTTGTTTCCGAATTCGTTTAAAATTTGGAAAATCATTCGTACCTCAACATCACCAAACACAAACACAAACATTTATGTCTATTTGGAGTATTTCTACTTTTCTAGTATTCGCTCTAAAATTTTATTTATATGTTCATGTTAAAAAAATGCTGAGTATGTTTAAAAGTTTGTGCATGTTTTATCCTTGTTTAAATTGATTTGAAAACAAAATATAATTTAAAATGTGACAAATACATACTCCGTAGTAAATATTAGAAATGCTAAAGGTAAAATACATTACGAGTATATATTACTCCGTACAAAGAACAGCATATATACGATGAACACCAAATGTTAAAAATTCAAACAAAGATAGTAAGATTCACATTTGACCCAGTTAGTTCCCCATGCTCAGCTCGGTTATCAACCCATGTCGTTCGTTAGGCCATGTGGTGTGCCGCCCGGGAAAGGAGAAGGGGATGCCACGTGAAATGAAACACCGCCACCCTCCGGTGAGAAAGGGAAGAGTGATAACCCTTTGATACGGATAGTTAATTACGTAGTATAATATTTTAATTAGTTATTATTCTTTAGTAGTTATTTATTACGGAGTATTATTTATTGATGGTTTAGATCAGAGCTTTAGTATGGACTCGAGCCCATTATTAGGCCAATTAGCATTATCTGCGTTCTTTATATATATAACCCTTCGTTATTATTATTCAATCAATCAATCATCAAGAATTACTAATAATGTTCTTTCTCTGTTCTTGGGTGTCCGGAAATGCTCGACGTTTTCCACCTTTCTCTACCTCTTCTTCTTGGAGTTTGAAGATTTGCTCGAAGTTCTTCTCTAATTAAAACGATATTGACACATTGCAATAGTCCTATTTTGAGGGTAAAAAGTATCACTCCTATTTAAGAGAATGGCAATATGCCAATGTGAATTTGTTAAAATGTTTTAAATGCAGTTAAATTAAACAACTAAATTTATATTTTTCATCTAATATAAATTTGATATACTTGTCTTTTGAAAAGTGAATTTCGAAGTACTAAACAAAACTGAGTTTAGAATAGAGGTGTTTATCGAGTCAAACTCGGACCGGACCGGATGGGACCGGGACCGAATAAGGGACATTTGGTAGACCAAGGACCGGACCGATTAAGATAAGGACCGGACCGGTAAAACCCAAACCGGACCAGGACCGGACCGAATAAATGTTATTTTTAATTTTTTTAAAATTTGATTTAATTTATTTAATTTAAAGTATTCAATTGCATAAAAATCTTACTACAATTAATTTTTAATTTGTAACATACACTAAACATTGTCAAACACTGTTGTTTTTAATTTATTTTAAAGTTTAAATAAAATATACTCCCCCCGTACCAAAAAGATTTACACCTTTCAAAAAAATTGTGTCCCACAATCTCCTACCCACTTCTATTAAAAACCACTTTTACCCTTTACTTTTTCAAACCCTACCTATCACATCATATCTTTTTCCTAATAATCTACACATCACATCCTACTTTTACTCATCACATCAAGGGTATTTTTGGAAAGTCAACACAAAATTATCCATCCCTTAATTTCTACTTTAGTCAAAATGGGTAACACTTTATAAGACGGAGGGAGTATATCGTCCATCCGTATTACATAAAATTTGTTCGTAAATTTTATTTTACATATGGAATATTCTTCTTCTTACTGTATTTTCTTTTTTGTTAAAAGTTTTTTGTGTTTTCGGTTTATTTTGGCAAACGAATACATTTTTTACAATCTTTGTTCATGATATAATTTACAATATTTATTTTTGATTATTATAGTTTCATTATTGATAAAGTACACACTTAAGTTATAGTATTGGTACATGAATTTGAAATGCATTAGATAACTAATATAAAGATAATGTTTACTTTTTTCACACTTTTTATACTAAAAATATTTAAATATCATTAGAATTGGTATCTTATTTTGAATTGAAATATATTGAAAAATTTATACTAAATAATAAAATCAAAACATTTGAAAAACTTTTAGTATTAAAGTTAAATTAATTTTAAGTATAAAAACACCTTAAAAAAACTATATTATAAAACAATACAGAAAAAAATTAATTTTAAAAAATAAAATGTTACCGGTCCAACGGTCCGGCCCAGACCGAAGACCCGGCCGAATAAAAACCGGTCCAGTCATGTTTTGGCCAGGTTTCGGGTCAGTCCAGGTCCGAACCGAATAATGCACCCTCTAGGTAGGTTTAGAGTATTTAAATGAGGTGAGTGGATGAAATGAGGTGGAAACAATTATGGGAGTAAGTATAACAATACAACAATTTCTTTTGTACACTATTTTATACTCCCTTCGTTTCCCAAAAAAGTTCCCCTTTTGACTTTTAGCCAAAATAAGGAACCCATATTTTGGCAAAGACCTTCCCATATTACCCTCTTACTCACGTGGGGTACATAGCAAAAGTGAGCAAATGTGAAAATAAAATAATGAGGATAATAATGACTAACTTGTCATGAATAGTGGAAGCATTAAAAGACTCCACCAAAACCCTTTGCATTTCACACGGCAACCATAACAAAAGAGGGAGGATTACAAATATTTTTTTGGGAAAAAATTTAAAAAGCCCTCGAAATATTTCAACCTAATACTACCACTTCTCAATATAAATACACCAAAGCATTAAATGCATTCATCTCTCCCTAAACATGTCTTGAATAAAAATAAATGCTCCATATAATCTGTCTGGCTTCAAATAGCATTGATGGAACCGTCACCTCTTCCAACTTCCTCTCGTTTTGGAGATACCAACGCCGACTTAGCCGATGTAGCCGATGTCTCCCTGCCTCCACTGTTGGAAGTACCTTTCGAGCCTTTCAACACCCCTGAAATAAACAATATCGCATGTATTTTCGGTGTGCAAGCAAGAAACGAAAGAAGGCAGTGAATAATAGAGGAAATACTACAAAATTTCAAAAATGGCAAACTTCAGCACAGGTCACTGATAACAGTGGCGAATGAATTCAACATATCTCCTCGTTGGGTCAGAGAGATATGGGAAGCTGCAAAATCTCAAATGGCTAGGGGCCAGTGAATGTGGATTGCAGGTGTGAAGGTAACTCGGGGCAAAAAGGTTTCAATTTGGACATTTCAAAGTTGACTGACATTCCATTTCACAAGCAGCAAACGCTACGAGCCCTAAGCCACTGCCTTAATGTGTCAACTAGTACAACATATAGGTTGGTGAAGAAGAAAAAAATCAGAAGACACTCCAATGCTATTAAACCTCATCTATGTGATGGAGGTAAGTTAAAAAGGGTCAGGTATTGTTTGTCATTACTTTCTCCCACATCCCTACCAAATAACCCAACATTCCATCATTGTTATGATTATATACATATGGATGAGAAGTGGTTTGAGTTGAGCAAGTCCAAAAAGACCTTCTACACTTTACCTGATGAGGCAGACCCCTACAGAATCATACAGTCCAAAACACATATTTCCAAAATTATGTTTTTGGCTGCTGTAGGCCGTCCTAGGTTTAGGGATGATGGTCATGTACTGTGGGATGGGAAAATAGGCATATTCCCATTCACATTTCAAGAAGCTGCAAAAAGAACAAGCAAAAATAGGCCTGCTGGTACAATGGGAACAAAGCCCATTCCAAAAATAACAAGAGATGTCATGAGAGAAATGCTGGTACAACAACTACTGCCAGCAATAAGGGAAAAATGGCAACAGAGTTCTAAGCATGTTGTCATACAACAAGATAATGCCAAACCACATGTTGATATTAATGACCCAGTTTTTGTGGCTGCTGCACAGTACAAGAGAGTGATTGGGATATTAAGTTGCAATTTCAGCCCCTCAATAGCCCAGATTTAAATGTTCTTTACCTTGGCTTCTTTAGGGCAATAGATGCTATACAAAACAAGAGTGCACGTAGGTCATTGGGAGATCTCATAAATGCTGTCACAACAGCTTTTGAACAACTCACACCACAAGTTTTAAAGAATGTGTTCTTAACCTATCAAGGAGTCATGGGTGAGGTGTTGAGGCATAAAGGAGGAAATAATTTCAAGATACCTCACATGGGAAAGGAAAGGTTGTCCAGGAAAGGAATACTTCCACAAAATTTGGGAGTCAGTACTGAAGTGTATGAAGAGATGCTCCAGATTTCAGAAATGAACAACTAAAGAGAAAAGGGAAGTAGTTTTTTGTGTATATTTTTTTGGTAATACATGTTTCAAATGCACAATATTTTTTGTTTTTTGGTGCAAGTGTACACCACATGCATATAAGAAGCTTGTGATGATGTAGTACAACATGTGATATGTAAAACCATCATTATATGACTATAAAAAGTCTTTTCTTTGCATTTGTATATTCACAGAACTGGTAAGGGACAGATTGCCTTAGAAAGGGACCTCAAATCCAATGGGACAAACTCCCTCAGAGATCACACATGGAACCAGACATTTATATTTCATCATAGGCAGTAAAGAGAGGCACACGTGAAAGCCATAGGAACAAACTGCCTTAGAGAGAACACAGTGCCTTAGAGAGAACATCACACATTCAAAAGCCATCTTATGCAGTAAAGAAATGGACCACAAACTGCCTCAGATATCACATAGGGTACCACACATTCAGAATCCATCATATGCAGTAAAGAGAGGGACATGAAAGCTTAGGGACAAACTGCCTCAGTGAACACATATGGTAGAACACATTTCTAATCCATCATAGGCAGCAAAGAAAAGCACACAGGTCATTTAGTGACAAACAGCCTTAGAGAACCACTTAGGAAACCACAGATTCAAAATCCATCATAGGCAGTAGAGAGAGGGACATGAAAGCCTAGGGACAAACTGCCTCAGGGAACATATAGGGTAGAACACATTTCTAATCCATCATAGGCAGCAAAGAAAGGCAAACAGGTCATTTAGGGACAAACTGTCTTAGAGAACCACATAGAAAGGCCAAAACAAGAAACCCAATTTCTGGCTTTACATTTCACACGACAACCATAACAAAAGAGGGAAACATAATCTTCACCACACAGAAGAAATTCCACATACACATTCACTAATGCCTGACCAAACATCTAACCATAATTGACCTTTGTAAGCCTCCAAACCAAAAATGGGGTGGCGTTACAATTAGGCAACTTCATTGACAAGATTAAATTTTGTTCGCATCATTAGTTTGCCCAAAAACAACATGCAAGACATATGCGCAAAGTGTAAAGGAGAGAAGATTAAAGGACATTACTTTGTTTATATCTTTCAATTTTAGAGGGACTTCTTACTGGCTCGGACAACAACACCTCTGTTTCCGAGCTCATTTCTCGAACCTCACCAGTGTTGATTGAAGACTCAAGATCTGATGAATCTTCTTCCAGATCTGATCCCCACTCAATTCCATCTGGGAGATGCTCACCCTCTAGGTATTTTTTCCAGAAATTCCACGAAGGATCAGTATCAGAAGAACTTGATGGAAGCAGGATCAACATGATGTTTCAAGGCAGCTATGGCTCGTTTACGCTTGCTCAAAGATTTCTGAGTACGATGAGGCTTAGGTTGGTCCTCATCGCTATCAGAGAGCAAGCGAAATGAGGGCATGGTCAGATATGGAGAAGAGGAAGCAGACGTGAAGCTGATCCGGTTCTAAAAAAACGAAAGGTGAGGAGAGGAGAAGAATTTCCATGGGAACGAAGGGGTTGGATAATGTGGGATAGGGGATTGGGTAAAATTAGGTTTAGGGGTAGTTTAGGAAAAAAAGTGAAAGAGGAAGTGTTTTAAGAAAAAACGAAAAAAATGAAAGAAGAAGGGTTTTGGGAAACGGAGAGAGTACATAATACTCTCTTCGTCCCTTAAAAAACTTTCCATTTTGACATTTTAAAGGATTTAATGAAAGTGTATTTTGGTGTTGACTTTCCAAAAATTTCCTTTGATGTGATGGATAAAGTAAGATGAAATGGATAGATTAATAAAGAAAAAATGTGATGTGATATGTAGGTTAATAATTAATATGGGTAAAAGTTACTTTTTAATAGGAAAAGAGAAATGTTTTTTGGGACGGGTGAAAAAGGAAAGAGGAAGAGTTTTTGGGGCGGAGAGAGTACTTTATTTGTCCAAAAAAGACTTCTAGGATCCGTTTGGTATACAGAATTGATAGAAATGGAATTGAATTGGAATTGAAATTCCATGAGATTCAATTTCATAGAATTGAATTCATCAATTCCAATTCATTTTTTGCACTACCAATTCTAAATCCACATAATTTTTGTGTTACCAAACACCAAAATTGGAACTGAAGTCCTTTATTCCAATTCCATAATTTGAATTTCGTGTACCAAACGAGGCGTTAGTTACTATTCGCATGTCAAAACTAATTCTACTTTTATTTTGACCTTGTGGTCGAGAGGCACCATAGAGACTCTCATATGAGAGGTCGTCCCTAGTTTGAACTCCAGTTGGAGCAATAACTTTACGTGCTTAATGAGTTGAAATGTATGAATATATACTACATTATAATAGAATTATTAGTATTCAAAAATTAAAACTAACCCTACTTTCTTTATACGTACATTTTCATCTAGCATTTGATAAAATAAATTAACCATGTCACTACTAGTTTTGTAAAACTTTTGATGTAGTTTTTTAATATATAGGTTTTTGTATTTTAAATTTTATACCAATTTTTACTTATATTGATTTGAAAATAATCTTAATCAAAAATCATAAACCGAACAAAACTTTTTTTGGGACAGAGGGAGTATCATTGTATAAAATACAACATGTTTTCACAACCTTTAAACTTATACTTCATCGGTCTTATAAAATTTCAAATTTCTTAATTACACTTTTACTTTTTCATTCACATTTTACAAACTTTGCCACAAATTATAAAAAATATAAAGTTATAATTTAATTTATAAAATTCAGTTAATTTTAAGATCTTGTTTTATATATTTATCTAAAACTAAAATTAATTTGTGATCAAAGTAAATACTTGGTTGACCTAAAAAATCGAAGTGTAAGAACTTTTGTGGGTGAGAGCGAGTATGTGTAAGCACTTAGCTCTAAATTTGTCACTCAAAACATATTGTGATATAAATAATAATGTAGTATATTCGTTACAAATGTAGTACATTATGGGAAATGTGTACTAGTTTGACCTAAAAAATCAACCAATGCACATATTTTAGATTGTGATCAACATAGAGTCCATTTTGGAATAATGTTTTTTTATTAGTGTTACCGTTAATATTTTAATGATGTAAATTAGTTTTAAAAACACTAAAATTAAATGATGTACGTAGATAACTTTTTCAAAACGTTAATATAATTTCTAACACTATTTCTAAAATATTTCTTCACTTTCCTTAAAACTAATTTTGATCGCTCACATTTTACTTTTTGATGTAAATTCGTCAAATAATGGAGGGAGGCAGTAATTGATAATGTAGTGTAAACAAGTAAATGGTTAATGACATTAACAGGTGATAAAAATGGGCCAAGTGCCCAAATAGATCAACATGGGTCCGTTAACGATCATTTCTTTTTTGAATTTTAGAAAGCGAGTCATCGAGAGTTATGTGTTTGCCCCAACAAGAGTGATTTTGGTGTCAGAGAGCGTGAGAATGTTCCTTCCTCTTTTGGTGGAGTTTCAAATGGGCAATGCTGAATGTCGCACTTAAACACTACGTACCCCTTACTCACAAAGTGATGTTTGCAGTTTATGCTGTCTAAGAAGAGACCTTACTACTTACTAGCTAGGGTAACCCTATATAGGTGACCTCATGTTTTACATGCACAAGCATACATTAACACTTGATAATTGTCTATGTCAAGCACATATGATTATTATTATCTGTGCAAAGCAGGAGATCACCAATGGAGTCACCCCATATGGAACTACCCTGACTTTACTCGTCTCACAAGTTATGAACAAATTTGAAGTCGAATTTGAAATGTTCCAAGCTTAATTGGTTTTTGTAGGGCTAACAATAATGTAATGCCCTGAGTATTATTGTCAATGCTAGAGCTGGCAGAACGATCGATCAAATCGAGTTTGAATTTGGTACTACAACGTTTTCAAGTTATTTCGGCTTCAAATCATTTTGAGTTTGAATTGTGAACACTTGTTAATGACATTAAATTAGGTTGATGAGTTCAGATTGACCCAGTGGATTTAGACACTTACAAAATTAATGCTCTATTATTTGAGTAGTAAAAACAAAACTAGATGTTTGAAGAATTAGGAAGATGTTGGAAAAACTAGAAATTGGAAGAAACTAGAAAAGTAATTTTTTAAGTGAAAATGATGAATATTGCAAATCAAATGAAGAGGCGGGCGATAGCATTGCAGGTGTTCTGGTCTGGCACAAAAAAAAGAGGGGAATGATGATGTGGAAAGGATTAGGACACAACGAGATTCTTCCCCATTGTAAATGCTCTTAGAATCACACCACTTTTTTATACTACTCTGTGTTAAAAATTTTAGCTTCTCCCACGTACTAATTGCCTCCACTTGCACAAATAATTATTGTCTGTCTAAATCCATACAAAATTATAGGTCAAAATGGTGTCAAAAATATGGTGTCACCTTAGCAAAGTTGATGTAAAAAATAAGGTGTCAAAAATATTTTTAGGACTCATTTTCCACAATCAAAATTTATTCAAAAATATATTTTGAATAAAATTGAATTTTTGGGGTAGCCTCTTGCCTTATTCCCTTTGTTGGAAACAACGCATTTACACCAAATCTTACCTCACATCGCACCTGGCTTGGGCCATTCGTGTTAGCGCATAATTGGTTTAATAATCGATTATCTCTTATTGGAATAATCGATTAATAAAATGATCCGCTCGAGGATTATTCTCGCACAGAAAATAAATCAAATATTACCTAACTGAGTAATCGATTAGCTTTTTGGTCCACTGAAGGAATTGAGGATAGAAGGGTCTAATCAATTTTTTCCACTTAGAATAATCAATTTTGTTTCTGGTGCATTTCACAACCTCCTTTTCTCCCCCAACAGATTTATTTTCATTACCCTTATAAAACCCCTATTCTTCACTTACAATTTAAGCACTCATTTCACTCCTCATTCATTCCATTCTTGATCATCAAAATACTATTTTGAGAGCTAAAAACTAATTTTTATTGAGTGCAAAGATATTTTCATCCATTAGAGCTTTACATTTAAACACTACTTGCTCAATTGTGTTAGCTTTCATTCTTGTGTTTTTAAACTCCATCTTCTTTGAGTTTGTGGATTCCAAGACTTGTGTGACTCAAGGCTTGATTGTAAGAAGTTGAGGCTTATGGGATTCAAATTCTCGAGTTGTAATCGGTTTTTCAAGCACGTGTTGAAGCTTGAAGTGTAGTAGGACTTTTGAGAGAGTCCTCATCAGAGGACTGGACTAGCCACGAGGTGGTTAACCAGTATATATTGCGGTGTTCTTCTTTCCCTTTAATCTTTACATATTTTCTGCAATTTTTTCCTTACGTTTATCACACACGTGAAAAACGCTCATTATAGAAAATAACTCTATTCACCCCCCCTCTAGAGCTGCACGTTTTGTCTAACAATTGGTATTAGAGCAGGAAATTCTTCGAATACATCTTATTTTTCAGGAATTCAAAGATCAATGGCTACTAGAATGTTCAACGCAGGAGTTAACAAAGGTCAATCCACTAGAAGACTACCGTTGTGTTATTCGGTTTATTCGTTGTACCCACGCCTTAGAGGGGGGGGTGAATAAGGCATTTGAAAACTTTTCGGAGTTTAATAAAAACGGTGTTGGAAAATGCGGAAGCAATATATAAAACACAAAAATAAAAGCTTAAATAAAATGCACACCGAATTTATACTAGTTCGGGAACTCCCTACTCCAGTACCTCGAGGCTCCTCCTCAAGGATTTCCGAATCCACTAAGTCCTGGTCTCTTGAACTCCGCCAAAGCACTGTACTAGTTTGGCAAACAACCCTTGCCAATAGGATTCACTCCGAGATTTCACCACGGCTATCCCGAACCGTTTACAATGAAGATTTAACGGCTATCTTCTACCGTTCCTCCAAGGATTTCAAAGGCTATCCTTGAACCTTTACCCAAGGATTTATACGGCTATCCTCGACCGATACAATATGAGAATTTAACGGCTATTCTCGACCGTATAAAGATGTGTTGGAAGAACACAAACAAGAGTTCTACACAACGGCTTGAATATAACAATGAAGAACAAAACTTAGCTGGTGTAGAAGGAAAGTATACTCTCTCAAAAATACAATTCAAACTTATGAATATGAGAGTATATAACTAGAAACACAAGCTCAAAGTATGTGTATAGAAATTAGGAATTTAAGGCTCTTAAAATAGCCAAAATATTGAAAATAATTAATAGAAGGATGAACACACTTGGAATAAAAAGAGAGGATGTTTAGAGCTTTGTTTCTAGAAGAAATATGAAGGATTAGGCTTGTATTTATAGTGGAGGATGTTAATTAGCCGTTGGGAGGTGATTAGGATTGATTAAAGTCAAAATCACAAATCAGGAACAGTAATCCAACGGTCACGGTAGGA